GTCCGCGCACCAGTTTTCGAGGGTTCCGTCCATCCCGCGCACCAGTTGTCGAGGGTTCCGGTTCAGTCCGCGCACCAGTTTTCGAGGGCTCCGGTTCAGTCCGCGCACCAGTTTTCGAGGGTTCCGGTCCAGCCCGCGCACCGGAAAAACATAGGTTTGGTACCGGATTTCAAAATCTGGTGTTAAGCCTACCGGGCGCTTTTGAATATAGAGTAGTCTAGAGGCAAACAGAAGGAAAGGCACCGACACACAAGTGTGTCGAGTGCCATTTCCTCTTGTTGTCCTAAATAGTGGAACAGGTACGGAAGTTTGCGTCCAAACATTTTTTCAGTTGATTTCCATAGCTTCATTGGCGTGGCTAGGAAATCGACCGTCACGCCCCCTGTTCCAAACCTAAAGGCACACACACTCACACTCACACTCAAACTCACACTCTCACTCAGACTCTCACTCTCACTCTCACTCTCACTCTCACTCTCACTCTCACTCGCACGCACACTCACACTCACACTCACACTCACCCACTCACTCACCACCACCGCCACCGTCACCACGATCCCCACCTTCATCACCACCATCACCTCTCTGGACCCCAATGCGTCTAGATCTCTAGACTTACTGCTTTTTACCTCACACACAGTGTTTGGGGTCTCTTGCCGGGATAATTGTGGGTGACTTAGCTGAGGTCACTTGCCTATGCAATTTTCATGCTGCGCAAGGCCATTTGCCATTTGTTCGGAGTAGCCAAAGCAAATCGAGCCGAGCTTCAGAACTCAGGAGTTGAAGTTGACTCCCAGCAGGGGTCCGCCGCTGCAGGCTTGGGACGGTGGGGAGTTTATGTGCTCAGATTGTCGTGCCCTGGTGTTCACTTCTCAGACCGCCACATGCACACCGATTCGATTCATGTATGCAAAGGTTGGCTCGGGGCTCCGTTCAGAGAGTGGGAGGAAAGTAAGGTTGGAGGAAACAATTTGCAAGATACTCAGGCTCAAGTTTTGTGTGTGTGTGTGTGTGTTTTTTTTTAGTGTTTGTAGGCTTAGGCCGCCTTTAAGGCACTTTGACAAAGGTTTGTATCATAGGTATTTCTATCATTTCCTGATACCACCAGATGCACAATTGCCAACATGGTGGTCATCATGGAAGAGGAACAGCCAGCTTGCTGGCAAGACGAAGTAAAGCAGTTAATTTATATGGATTTTTTCAAGCAGGCGCCGAAGAAAGTGCCGGCTGTTGTCCAATCTTGAACGCTAGGCTGAGACAGGCAAACAGAAACAGGTCGGGAGAGAGCATCACGCTCAAGATGCATGAATAGAATCTAGGCGGTCCTGTCAAACCTGCAGTATGGTGAGTTTCTTACGAATTCAGCTTGCTGCAAGCAATGTAGCCTTTGCTTTTTGTAATCGCCGTTTGCTTGCAAGGGAATGAAAGCATGGCCCCGAGCCGCATCCATGTGAATAATTTGTAAGCAGACGCTAGTTGCTACCTGTATATGCCATTGTTTGCAGGCTTTGTTGTTGGGTCTGATCGGATGGTTTGCCGCGCATTACAGATGTTAAATCTCCATGGAAATTGGGTGTTTGGAACGTTTTTACTGATGCCTGCAGGGTTTTGTGACTGTGCCGGAACCATCTGATCGGGGGCGGGGAGTGTGGGCGGTTATGCTGTCATCGGTTTCATAGAACTTGTCACCGTTTCATAGAACTTGGCACCGATGAGTCGTGTGATTGGTGGGGTGGGGTGGGGGGGGATGGTTTCGTTTTGCTATTGTTTATGTTTTTGACGACGTGATTGTATGGTATGATGTATGCAAGGATCTTATTCCCCAATAGCCATGCTATGGGGTCTTGCAAAACTAATAGGCGGACGGGCGCCGTCGGGTCACCGTCAGAGCTGGTGGGCGGATGGTGTCCCGGTCATGTTTTGATGGCGTCCGGGTCATGTGATGCTGGTGTCCCGGTCATGTTTTGATGGTGTCCCGATCATGTTTTGATTGTGACCCTGTCATGTTGTGATGGTGTCCCGGTCATGTTTTGAAGGTGTCCCGGTCATGTTGTGATGGTGTCCCGGTCGTGTTGTGACGGTGTCCCGGTCATGTTTTGATGGTGTCCCGATCATGTGATGGTGGCGCGGTCATGTTGTGATGGTGTCCCGGTCATGTTTTGATGGTGCCCCGGTCATGTTGTGACGGTGTCCCGGTCATGTTTTGATGGTGTCCC